GGAAGTAATATGAGATAAAGTAGAATACCAGGCAAATAGGCAGAGCTATGGGTGGATGGGTGTCATAGATGGGCATTACGGCGCGTGGGCAGGTTGGCGGGTGCTAGGGCCAGACACTAAGGAGCACAGGGATGGACAGGCAATAAAGCGGCAGGAGTGACTTGCAACCTCCTGCCAACTTTCCCATTGACTTTTTTAGTGGAAAGCCACCAGAGAAGGTCACAGATAGCAACCATGGGACCACAGAATAGTGGAACCATCATAATTATAAGCTGGTGCCCAAATTCCTGAATCATGATAACATGACCATGGGAATGCTGCAATGGCTGCAACTTCACAGATCAGTCGTAAGTTGTTCAGTGCCATCTTAACTCTGAACAGTCATTTAATGAATGGTTGTAATCCAAGGACTATCTGTATTTTAACAATATCTGAGATAAAACAAATTAAAGCCAATTATAAAATTTTCCATTACCCTTCAATAAATCCTTTAAAAGAAATTCTGGGAGAATCTTGCTTTTTGTTGCAGTGGGCTGCTTAAGATGGTACTTCATATTGTAGATCAGATTCCCATCCCATATTGGGAACAAAATCTTTTCATCTTGTGACCTATAGTCATCTAGTAATGGTGGTAGGCTACATAGATTGGGCTTCCAATTGCAGATAAAACTGATTTATCAAAAATGAGGCATAGGCATCCATTGTGATTTTCCATGATCTCTCTGGTTCTGCATAGCCTTTCCAGTGCACCACATGCTTGTTAATAGCATGGGTATTAGTTTTCCTAGTCCCTTTCCTGATGTGATTAATTTAATTTGCCCATCAGAAATAGACAATTTGTCTCATAGGTTAATCTACCCACATCTTTTTGGAAACATTCATGGCAAACATATATTTATTATCTTTATTAGCAAGGTCATTTCTCTGAGCTGCTGGACGTGCTTTGTGTAGACTTCCACCTCCTCCTTTGCCTGGCCAGCCTCCCCCATGCAGTTCCTCCTTCTCTCTAGAGATCTGTCAAGGCAGATGTTGGACTTGGACAAAACTGCTTCCTGCAAACATTTTCTTCCACACTTCCATGCACAGCAGCGTTGCCCTCTGCTTGCTGCTTTGATTGGGAGGGGGTGGCACCGGACAGGGAAATGCCATTGCTTGGATGTCTGGGACTGGGAGCAGGACGTCTCCTTTGGTGTGCTGTGTGCACACACACATGCCCCATTCCAAACTTGGAGACTTTTATCCATACCTGAGCTGGCAAGTTGCCAATCATGCCTGGGCTTGGGGAGAAGGACTTCTCCTTCCTCTGTGGATAAAAAATCCCCAAACTTGGAATGGGATGTGTGGGTGTGCACACACACTTAGCTGCCGGTAGTTTGGGGAGGCGAGGAGCTTGTGGGGCACCGAGTTATCCCCATGTCGAGTTAGCTGGTGCGACTTGTTCTGTGCTGATCCAGCTGTGCTGAGTCAGTGGGGCCAAGCCAGCTGTATCCACTCAGCAATGCCCAGCCATGCCCACCTGGCCATACCATATCAGCCGTGCTGAGTGAGCAGAATCAAACTGGCTGTGCCAAGCCGATCATGCTAACCCACCTACATCTACTCATCCCACCGACCCAATTGTGACCACCCAGTCATGCCCACCCAGCCACACCCACCTGGCCACTGTGAGTCATCGCATTCTGGCTTCAGAGAGTAGTGGGCTAATACCCATACTATTAACAAGCATGTGTAGTACCTGATGCACTGGAAAGGCTATGCAGAACCAGAGAGATTATGGAAAATCACAACGGATACCTATGCCTCATTTTTGATAGTCCAGTTTTATCTGCAATTGGAAGCCCAATCTATGTAGTCTACCACCATTACAAAATGATTGTAGGACACAAGATGAAAAGACTTTGTTCCCAATATGGCTTGGGAATCTAGCCTGGTGTGATGGGGAAGAAAGGGAGGCAGAAGAGCAGCCTAGACAAGAGCAAAAAGGGGGATTGAGAGAAAAGCCTTTTTTTTAACTACTGTGTTATAGGACTTGTATAGGAAAGGGTTAATGGCAGAAGAGACAAGTAAATTGACAGTTTATTCCCATGATTCTGGCCTTAGATTTTCAATGCACACAAGAAGGAAGATTGAGGCTAATGGAGAAGGTGGTGTAGAATATCACAGGGAGATGTCCTTGAAAGAAATAGGCAAGAACCAGGATATGAACAAAGAAGGCTTAAGTCCTGGAAAGTCCTCACTTAGCAACCTTCATTAGGACTGGAATTTTCATTACTAAGCAAAGTAGTCATTAGGCAAAAGAGCATGTGATCCCACTGCTTAGTGACAGCAATTTCAATAGTCTTGAATGTGGTGGTTGTGCCAGAACCACACAGTTATTAGATGAGGACTTCATACTTCTCCTGGCCAGCTGTGCTCCCCTTGCTTCAACTCACCCCACCCACCTATCTCTCCTATCTCTGCCATTTTGGCTATCCTGCATTCCACTGCCCCTGCCACTGTGCCTTCCATTGCTCCTGTTGTCCCCACTGCCCTCATTCTGCCCTGCATCTCCACCTTCCTGTACTCTGTCAACCTGCTATACCATGCTGCCCCAGATGATATTTGCCATCTTCTTCCTCCTGCTACTGATGAGGGGTGACAGATGGGTTGCACCAGGAGTGGTACATTGCAGAGAAGTGGAAGGCAGCAAGTACAGTAGAGGGCATAGCAGCAGGGCAGCAGGTACAATGAAATGTAAGGCAGCCAAAAGGGTAGAGATGAAGGAGGGTGGGAAGACAGGTGGGGAGAGTTGAAGCATCTCTACAGTCATAAATGTGGGCAGGTTGCCAAGTGCTCAAATTATAATCATGTAACTGCAGAAGTTACTAATTAGACAGGCTTCTCCCTGATTCATGAGATATAAGAAATCAGAAAGTAACTCACAATCAGGCTTGCAAGATTTCCTCTTTGAAGTCTTAATGAAGTATAGTTCATTGTGCTTCATTAGAGTGTGTTTCTAGGTTTTGTTTAGCCAAAAAGGCTGACATTATTCCTTTTTTACAACAAAAATTAAATAATTGATAATTGTATATGCAAAATTGTAGAGTCACTATCTTTCAGGTCTTAAGGCTGTAAAAATTTATTTACAGCAATGTCACTTATATACAATTAGGTTTCAATTGCTGTCAGGTACAAAGATTCAGAACCATATTTTAAGCTGCAGCACGGAAAATTTCTCCAAACCTATGTAAGAATTTAGTCAACTAATGGTCAGCATTAAACTGGCACTAGATAAAGGTCAAAAGAATTCAAGGGGACCTGGACTTGAATGACTTATGGCAACATGAGGACTTTAAACTTATAACATGTTTAACTCTGCCCCCAGCTCCACCTACTCTTCTTCTACAATTACATGCCATTACTGCCATCTTGGGGTTGTTGTTTTTTACCTCCCAATGGATGCTACTGGATGGCTTATTTATCTGAACAGGACTTTACACTAATTTTATGGGTTTATATTAATGTAAAAGAAAATTAAAATGCAATAGTGTGCAACATAACTGTAACCATTTTTATATGCATCTGATAATACAATTCACAAAGTTTAAGCTGTTGGCCATTTGACGGTGTTAGCTTTATTTAACAAGTTGCATTTGATTCATTGTAGCAGTCCTGTCTTTTTTAGATCTCATGCAAGCCTAAACGTGGATGAGCTTTTGAAAGAATGTCAGGCTTGAATTTTTGCCCCGCCCTAAATATAGAGATACATTTTTTTCCAATTGTAGTTAATAGCCAAAGAAAGCCTCTTTCTTATTTACTTTATATCAGCGGTTCTCAACCTATGGGTCGCGACCCCATTTGGGGTCGATCGACCTCTTTTGTGGGGTCGCCAAACGCGGCGATCCGCCATTTTGTCCCCTCCGGGGGCGCGCCGCGCCTCTGGGGGGGCGGTGCCGCGCACGCGCGCTGCGCGTGGGGGCGGCGGCGCGCCTCCGGGGGGCGCCACCGTGCATGCGTGCCGCGCGTGGGGGCGGCGCCGCGCCTCCGGGGGTGGCGCCGCGCATGCGCGCCCGCGCGGGGGCCCCGCCCCCATACGCGGCCGCGCCACGCATGCGCATAACGTTTGTGTGACGGGGGTCGCTGTCACACAAACGTTGAGAACCGCTGCTTTATATAGAACTGTTTGAAAGGCATGTAGTTGTCTAACAACATGCAGCATATTCTTTATTGCATCCTGACATACTGGAACATAAAGATAGGTTTAACAATGATAATGGATTTAGCACTTTTGGAAGTTGCAGCATTCTCCAGCATTAAATTGTGCTAATGTAGAAGAGAAAATAGGATTACTCTGTGCCTGTTCCATAAGGCTAGGTGACCTAATGTTATGTGCATTATATTCCATGTGTTCTAATATGATGCAAATGTGATACTTTGATCAATTCATCAAGGCAACGTTTATTGGATGGCACGCTGGCTGAGGAATTCTGGGAGTTGAAGTCCACAAGTCATAAAAGGGCCAGGTCTGAAGACCCCTGAGCTAGATGAAGATTATACTCTGCATCCAAGACAATTATATTACAAGCATTTGCTTATAAATGAAACCTGATGCCACTTAATTGCTTGGTATTCTTTTAGCATTCTATATATGCTCAGGACACAAATCTCCAACAGAAAGAAACCTTGAAATTCTCATTTAAGACAGCGACATCACAACTCTCTTCTTTTCCTACCTTTGCATGTCTGTGATAGCCTTATTAGAACAATGCAATGCCACTAGTTCAACTAGTCAGTGACTTCTACTTTTTTAGTTTCTTTAATGAAAGCTGAGAATGTAAGCCACACAAACAGAAGTGGCCTGTACAATTTCCAGAAAACTGAGTCACATGATAACTGGGTGTCAAATCTGCAGATCTAAAGCAACTATCTAACATGTCAAAATAAAATCACAATTCAGGTATCATCCATAAGTTAATCTATAATGTTAATCTATTAAAAAATTAAAAGCAATCTTCACTCACTTCAGGTTTTTTAATTTCTTCAGTCACTGAGTTCAAGACGTTCCATCCATCAAATGACCAGAGACCTTGATAAAACGCAATTCCAATAGCTCCAGCCTCCATATTGGTGTTTTGAAAAGCATCTTGGAAACTGTGGGTTTGCCCCTGAGCAAGCAGAACTAATCCTCCCACTGCGATAACCAACAGTGCAAAGAACTTGGCAGCTGTAAATATGTTCATCATGGACATGGCTAACCTGACGCTAAGGCAGTTGACCAACGTCAGGAAGAGGATGCAGCTTATAGCCATGCATTTGATCATGACCTGTGGAGGGGAGCAGCCAGAATAAAATGGCACCAGAGCATACTCTGCAAAGCTCAGTGAGACGGCTGCCACGCCAGCAGGCCTTACCACAATGATTGAAGTGAATGCAAAAAGGAAAGCTGGAAGAGACCCAAAAGTCCTCAGGATGTAAATATAGTCACCCCCCGATTCTTTGATTAAAATTCCCAATTCAGCATAGGAAAGAGCTCCAAAGATGACCACCAAGCCACAGGCTGCCCATATAATGAGGCTACCACCAGGGCTCCCTATGTTATGCAGTACCCACTCTGGTGACATAAAAATACCTGATCCAATCATAGTTCCAGCTACGAGTGAGATAGCACTGGTCAAGCCAATTTCTCGCTTCAAGATCAAGTTCTCTGACATCTCACTTGGCTGAGCAGCTGAGTTTTGGAGGTTGCTTCTGCTCTTTCCCATGATAGGACTTGCCATGGTTGTTTCTCCAGCAGAATGGAGCATGTCTGTCCATGGCCAGGAATAAATTATAGTTCACACTTTGAGTTAAGTTAATGATTGCAGGTACCGAGTGTCTTCCCATGTTTGGCTAGTATATATAAAATTCTCAAAGTCCTACCTTGTATGAAACATTAAGGTTGTTTTTACTTATAAGAAGCAATTTAGGATGGGGAACACAATAGTGAATTCTTTGAGCTTGTTTATTCTTTTGATTTTCTAGAGAAGCAGAAAACCTTCCTGCTCTTGAGGGCCTATTTTATATAATATTGCATCAAGATAAGTAGCTGTACTTAGTCCCTTCAGGTGATAAAAGAAAAGCAATTGGGAATATTTTGCACCTTCTTACAATACTATGGTATAATAAGTGAATGGCTTGAAGCTGTTTGAAGTCCCTTGAAATAAGTATGGTATTGTATTGACACAATGGCATTGTTCCCACAACATGCTTAGTTATGTCAAGAGAGAAGTAAGTGGGCTGGGGAACATCAAAGAGGAGTTACTTGACCAGTTTACTAATTCTTAAGGAGATGAATTCAAACCCAAAGAGATCCAGTCATGAATATGTCTTCTACTTCTTCTTCTTCCTCTTCCTCTTCCTCTTCCTCTTCCTCTTCCTCTTCCTCTTCCTCTTCCTCTTCCTCTTCCTCTTCTTCTTCTTCTTCTTCTTCTTCTTCTTCTTCTTCTTCTTCTCCTCCTCCTCCTCCTCCTCCTCCTCCTCCTCCTCCTCCTCCTCTCTGAATAGTACCAATGACTACCAAGCTCTTCTAGGAACATCACATTACTCCCACAGCCATCATCACCTTTTGGAGTTTCCAAGGTGTGTTTGTGGGGGATTTTACCATATAGTCATCCACAGGGAAACAAATACCTATCCCCACAACACAGGCACACTGAAGAAGCTGTGCCAATACACAATTCTCACACCGTATTAAAGCAGTCATCCATCCTACTTTTGGTGCCAGTGCAATAGAACAAAACCTGGCAAAAGCATCTTGTGCAGTCTATCAACATTCCAGCTAAGGTAAAACCACTGGTGACTTCCATGGATGAGATTTAGATATTGGTGAGTGGAAAAGTGTTGGCTTTTGGAATGTTCCTCACAATATTTAGCCAGATCACCTTCAAAATACCCACTTTAGTTTAACAGCAAATCATCAAGATAATCTGGCTGTGTCTGAGTGCAGATAGCTTTGATTCTGTACAAGATAGCTTTCAATATTATCTACTTTTACTTGGGTACCATATGTGGTGTAGTTAAAAAAAAGTATCATTTTCTATTAGATGGTCTGCATACTTTATGAGTATTATGACAGTTATAAAGTGGATAACAAAAAGGAAGTTATTTAGGATTTAGTGAATGAGGATATACCTTGATGGTAGAAGCGATAGATTCCTCCCACACTTGCTTCCTTGTATCAGGGATGTGTGCCACCACATTGTAGATAACAGAATGCTAATACAGCATAGTGCTTTAGGTTGTGATGGACAATAATGTGTAGTTCATGGGTCTTATGCAGAGGGTTCCAGTTCTTGTGATGACACCTTATTTTTGAGCTTCTGAATCATACTATAGCAAGAAAAAGTCTTCCTATGGCAGAACTATTGGCTAATGAATGGGATGTTAGTTGGTTCCATTGTCTAGGGGGGGAAAAGCCTAAGCAAACAGCTTCCGGTGAGGAAAATGGCAGCTTAGATGCCTCCAATGTTCTTGGAGATGATGGGATAGTTTGTTTTGCTTCCTGCACAGCATGGGGGCCCTGTATCTTCCTTTGAATTTAAAGAGGAAACCAGAAATAGACCCATGTGATCCCTGGACTGTTATTCCTTGCAAGTAAATTACAGAAACAGAATTTTAAGGTGTGTGTGTGTGGGAGGGGGGATTTCAATCAAGTTCACAGCTGTGATGTAGCCAACTTTATGAACACTAGAACTGACCTAATTCATTTCTAAATCACTTTTTTGAAGTATTTATTTTTGTAGTGAAAGAGAAACTTTCTTTGGAACAAATGAATATTTCTGTTTAGAGTCTTTATTTCCAGAGCTATATTTATATTGAAGTGTTAAGAATTTTCTCTTATATTTGTCTGAGTTGCAAAACCTTGGAAATGAAAGAGCATTTAAACAGAATTAAATTGATTTTTTTTTTGAAAGACTATTTTTGATGAATCTATGTTCTTCAGCTTGTAGCATCAAATTGCTCTGCTTGTTTTTTCTATTACCATCTTATGGAGTTCCCAAGTTTCTATCCACATAGGGGTATCAGATCAGGGTTTAAAGATGAGCAGCAGCTTCTATTGTCTCTTATGAAGATGATATTTGACATCTTGGGTACAACACTAACACAACCTATAGAAGTTTAGTTTAAGACTTTGAAAAACTTTTTAAAAAAGAAGACTGGACAAAATTTCAGTGGAAATGAAACCATTTAATGACAGGATGGAACTTTTGGAGAAAAAAATCAGAAATTAGGGAACTGGACTTAGGGAGAGGACTGGACAATTTGGCAGGACAATTTGGCTATGCTGGAACTCAGAGAGAAAACTCTGTCTGTGGTTCAGGGTTATTCTAAACAGAACCCTTTTGAAAATATATGAAAAATATTTATTCAGGCATTAGTTGATTTGTTGAGCTGGGAAGAGAAACTGATGGAGGGACAATTGGACAAGGTCCTATCGCATAAATTCGTGAGATAAACATCGGATTTCAGTGAAAATCTCTTCATGGAATCAAGTTTATATATATATACATCCCCAAAGCCTTGAATTATAGCTAACAGTGAATTGATTAAACAATGTGATATTCAGAAGGGGGAAAGGACACGGTTTTCCTCTGTCCCCTTTGTTGTTTATTTTGGTTTGTAAAGCTTTGAATAAAAAATAAAAAATAAGACTTTTCAATTGGTTTTGATTTTATAGGATCCCCTGAAAGGGATTGATTCTTTGATGAAAAAAACTGAAATGTTTTTTTGTGCTAGCAGATTTTAAGATAAATAACAAGAAGACAAAGATGTTGGTTTAAAATATGAGTCAATCAAATCTTTATTCAGTCATAGACCAGCAAATAAAATGCAAAAGTCAATCAAGACACAAGAAAAAATATAGTTATTCTAAAATATTTTAAAAGGGTTAGAGTTAATACTATGGTGGACTGTACAGATTAGAACAGTATTTGACTATGGTCAAGGAAATAAAATCAGATTGATGCAATAATAGCATCTTGAGATAAAACAGATTGAACTGACCAGGATATTTAATAAAGAGTGGAAATAATAATTACTAGCAAGCTCCTGCACAGAGAGGGCAATAGAGAATAGCATGTTCCATTGATTCAATTATTCCTCCACTACATAGACACAGTCTCTGTTCAAAGGGAAATTTATATATCCCTTCAGTAACAGTTGTTGGGAGGGCATTGAATCTGATTAAGGAGAAGCCGTTCTGAATATTGGGATTGTTATGTGACTGGGTGTCCAGCTGGTTAAAGAGGATGTTCAGAGTGGCTCAAGAAGGTGTTTCTGTGTAGGCTGGAAAGTCTGCTTGCTGTTCTAAATTAATCATTATTTGAGATCTTTCCGGTGAATGTAAATTTTAAAAATCATTTTTTCAGATATGCCATATTGAGAATTTGGAACAGTGAAATTGTTTCTTAAAATTCTTTTATGTTTGGCAGCTCCAAAACCCATTTTTAGAAGGGAAATGATAGTTAAACAAAAATGAATTGTTGAATTTTTCTCAAGGAGTGCATAACTTAAAAATGAGAGAAGATTTTGAAGGTTTTATGTGCCATTGATTTCCTTTCACTCAGTTCATGACAAGATTTAAGTTGGATAAGAAGAATTATGTATTTGGAAAGGAAGGGCCATCAAAGGGGCAGGATGAGTGAATAAGGATTCTAAGTCATCATTTGAATAAGTGTTTGTAATACTGTTTTTGATGACCTTTTCTTTCTACTCTCCATTTTCTTTTTCTCTTTTGATAGTTACTGCTGCTTGCTTAGCTAACAGAAAGAGATTGGTGATATCATAAAACTTTGCCAACATTTTCTTTCAGCAAGAGTTCAAGGGATACTAGGAACTTTGTGTCTAGTGCCTTCAAACTGGTTATTTTTACATATGCATCCCTACCAGAACCACTAAATGCTAAACGGACCATTTGTGCTATACAATAAAGTCAAGGAATATATACATACCACACTAAGTCAAAATCAGATGAACTACCATTTGGTGTGCTTCCTTGCTTGCAAAGGTAACCCTGTCACATGTTGGTGGAAGAGACCATGATGTGGGTAAAAGGGAAAGGATCACAGCAAAGCTAAAGACCTAGTTTCATTCTGGCATTTGCAGGTAATGGATTAGGTACCACAAGAAGAAGTTACATCAGAAATCCTGGACAGCTACTCCAAACAAGCTATCCAAAATCAGTAGTTGATCTATATCTTACTTTCCTTACCCATCCTATCTTATTAATGTTTGTAGAAATATAAGATTAGAGTGAGTTCCACAGAATGACAGCCTTTCTATACAGAACTTCAAGATGAAGTTATCTTTTGAAGCTATCTTTTGCAATGATTGGCCAAGAATTCTAAAGTATTTATACGGCCAAATGAGAAGCTTCTATGAAAGGCCACGTTTTTCTTCCAGTATTTATTCAACATCCTGGGCATATTTACCTGGGCTATACTTACAGGAATCTGAAGTGAATTAATATTTAAACTCATTTTTTGCATTCCAGGGACCAGCAATGCACGTTTACAATATGGTGTGAAGTTATCCAGTGTTCCAGCCAATCAGCCATGTCATCCTCTTAAGATATTCTTTTTCTTGATTATTTTGTTTTCATTTCTCCTGGCAGTCGGCTAGAATTCCAGGGTCACTACAAATAAGCAGTCTTACTTGGGCTTTCAGGTTTTTGATATTTTCCCTTTAAGCTGATATGCAAATTGTGTGTTTCCTTATGGCCCTTATTTTGTTTAGTATGGG